TGGGGTGGTGCGAGGCTCTGCAGGCAGAGAAACCGCGGCCTGGTGGCGCCCACCACCCAGCGAGCGCCCATCTAGAGACAGCAGAGGCAGTGCCCGGGGAGGATGTCGCCCCCCAGCCAGAGCCCAATCCCAGGAACTTGTGGGAGGCTTCAGGGGTCGGCGGACACACGCAGAAGGGGAGGAGACCAAGCTAGCGCCGCCTGCACCTGCGCCGCTCTGTAGAGTAGTAGATGCCCCGAGTACCCGGGAGGAGTGCGGTCTCTGCAGGCGTCCCTTGCCTGGAGGGCGTGAGGCTAGGCGTGGGGCTGGGGGTGAGGGTAAATATCAGGCCCCGCCTGGGGCTAGAGCGGACCGGCCGCTGTCACTGCCCGCTGTTCCCTGGTGAACCAGAACCTCAGCAAGACTCGAGCCGCCGGGCTTCAGCTTTGACAGATGGTGGGCGAGGGCCGCATGGCCTGAGACAAAGAGGACTCACACAGGGACCACACCCCAGCACCGCAGGTCCAGGAGCTAGGGCAGTGCAGTAGGCGCGCTTTATTGGGCTGAACGCTTTTGTTTTTACTTTTTGCTAGGCAGAGTGCAGAATGGCAGGGGCACGCGAGGCCCTACGGCCCTGACCACCCGCAGGTCAGTTCCAGTGGGGTGCTGGGTGGGCAGCCCACACCCAGGACAAGTGGCAGGTCCTGCGGTGGCCCAAGACGTCTGGTCACCGGGCACTGGGCAGGTGGCCAGAACCGCGTCTGGGTGGCAGAGCCCAGCAACAGCAGGCTGGTCCGGGCAGGCCCACGGTGTCCAGGGCCTTCCTGTGGCAGGGGCCCAGCAGCCTGGCCTCACAGGCGTCCCTCTCGTCCCGCAGCCGTGTGTTCAGCTCCCTGGGGAGGTGATGCATTTGAGCTCCGAGGGGGTCTAGGGTGGATGGGGGAAGGTGGGCCCATTCCCTCGGGCTGGAAGAGGACCCAGGAAGTCCTTCCTCCTAGCAGAATGGGGCAAAAGCGGAAAGCATCCGGGAGCCCCTCCGGCAGGGGCCTAAGCGCACCTGAGAAGCTCCAGTTGCCGCAGGAGGCTGAGCTTCTCCTTCTGCATGTTCCTTGAGACCGCAACCACGTCCCTGCGGATAGGGGTGTGACGAGTGCAGAGGACTGGACGCGGGGCTGGGCTGGGAGGGGAGCGGCCCGGCCTCCCGCGCACCTTTGCATCTGCTTTCGACGGTCCTGCGCCTCGCCCTCCAACC